TTTTTTTGGTTCAAACGAAAGTTTATCTGAAAAAGTACTATAACTAAGTCCAAAATAGATTTACTATATATATTATTATAGACAAGACATTCCACTATTTATCCATGCAACAACCTCTTGAATGTTGATTGGTTTATAAAATTGCCAATAACGATTGCAGAACTTTTGGTCAGACCTAAGTAAAATTATAAATGATTTGTTAAAAAATGGACGACAAGCTTTGTCTAAGTATGAAGATGAGTTCACACCAGATGTCTATACAGCAGCAATAAATGAAAACGATGGGCAATTGATGAAATCTCTGAAAAAATACCTTGAAAATCAATGGAAGGTAACACATGGTTCTTCAAATCAATGGTTTATCTTATTTTTAAACGAATATAAAAATGCCGTCAATTATGATTCTGTTCTGAAACGTACAGCGGAATATGGGAATAAATACTTGAAAGATTGCCCAATCTTATCAATTGTTTTGCAACTTCTATTTGAGGGTATTGACGACAAAAGTATGGAGGAAACAAACGTATTCCATGATCTATGGTGCGAAATAACTAATATTGGTTTGGAATCTGTGGAAAACTTTTTGGATGATAAAAAGCGATCCGTCTTATTACAAGCGTTACGTCAATATTATCGTCCTAAATTATTTGAATTATTGGAAAAAAGTAATATCACCGACAAAGACAATTTGTATGAATCAGCATTAGATAATGTTACTAAATATGGTTGGCTACAAGGTTTACAAGCAGTTGAAAAGAGAATAATAAAGAAATGTTTTAAAATATTACAAGAAAATATTCCTGTATCTGATGATACGTCTAGAAAGCAAGGTAAACTTGATTTTATTGAATACCTTGGTTGTTTATTCTCATAAAACGCAAATATCGCTACTGCAGAAAAAGTTCCTTTTAAAAAAGTTGACTATTGGGTTTTCGTATGCGAGTTATTTTTGTATTGCACACTTCCAATTAACTATATATGACATAGTAATTCATTAGATTTATTCCTGGAAGGTAACCATTCAAAAGCAGATGAGGCGTAGTTACCGCTATTGATCTTTAACCTTTTCATGACTAATTGAAAATTTTGTTCATCGAATTTTAATACGAAAGTACATAAGTCTTTACTTTCCAAAAAGTGGCAACTTCTTTGACAACTTCGTCAAAGATGTCGGGAATCAAGGAGTCTGAGCTGATGAGTTAATTCTACATAGTTCTCATTTTTATAGATTTTTTTGTGAAATAGTTAATAGAGATTCTGATCTCTCAATTTAGATACTTTCTGACCAAACTTTATCAGTAGTCAGTATTTTACCAAGAAATACCTTGTTGAAAAGTTCAAATCAGTTGAATCTTTACGGCATCTTCCTTAAAATAGGACAGCTTGTTTTCTCTAATAAGTAAACTCTGGACAATGTACATTCGTTTTCGTTCATTTAAATTTGCTTTTATGTCCCACTAAAATAATTGTTTTTTGGTATCAGGATATGGTTATGTGAGAAATCAACAATCATTGATTAATCAGGACACACTAAGGAAAAACAGCTGCAGTTTTGACTGTCATTGACAGGTTTTCTCTTCACAGCTGCTCTATAAGATGATAATACATGAAAATACAAAACAAGGGGTGAAGTCTATTGTTTACCAGTGATGGGATTCGGTTCGTGCTTTTTTTAAACCGAACCGATTCAAAAATAAAGAAGAGAAAGAAAATTTAGCAGTTTGTACTTTTTTTAGAATATTACTTTGAGAAAATTTATCGAAGACATGCATATAGCCTCTTCGATAGTTCTAAGAGCGGTCTGGAAAATTTAGGTACAAATATTTTTAAGAGTATCGGTATTTTTGTCTTTAAGATTTTAAAATACTCCTCACTGGAAAAGACTTAGCATGATTTTAGAGGTTAATCAATTTTTCCGTTAATCAAGAACCACTTAAGGTATTTTCGTTCATCGTTGATTGTAGAGTTTTAGGCACTATGCTTTTTTTTTTTTATAAAGCACTCATTCAATAGAAGAATATTAATTAATTAATAATTCGTAACTATCAAATAAAACTCCACTTTGGTTTCAACTTTCATGAATTTGATGATCAAGAGTATTTAGAACTGAGCAAAATTATTTAATTATCTTTTTAAAATAGATAATTTTAATGATATTATCAGACTTTTTTAATCTTAAGGAGTGATAGTTCTGGTTACGCGGGGACTTCAAGAATGAAAAAAAAAAAGATTCATAAATTTTTGTCAAAAACACGCAAAAATGGCGTTTCGAACGATGAGATAGACATTCATTTTGATATACTTCAAACTACTTGATTAAGAAGAATATTAGAACAAGCACATTTCATGAAGTTAACATTTCATCAAAATGATGAAACTCAGCTGATGAAGATAGCCACTTTAATCAATGATTATGAAATGCAAAACAAAATAATAGTCCCTTCATTGGAGAAACGCATCGTTTTTATTTCAAGTGTCCCCATAGTTTTCAAATATTAAATACGAAACGAAACTTAACATTTGAAAAAACTGAACGTGCTTTTGAAGAGAAGAACTTGCTTCAAATAGTAGATTGCCATTCTTTAAGAGATTTTCTGCAAAAATGTCATACAGTCTTACGTTTTGAGAAGTAATTTACATTGAGGTCATACTTTGCAGTCATTTTTTTTTGTGGTTTTGAGGTTTATGATTTTCACGTAGTGGGACACTTGACAATAATATCCTAATGATGATGATGGAGAGTGTATGTGTTGAAAAAAGAAGTTTTTCTCTTCAAAACACAACTTTTTTTTCCAAATTTAAATTTTCATTTCATCTTCAATATTTTGAAAAGTAATAAGCACTATGACTTGTTAAACTTCAAAAGTCTTAGAATCTCAGTGAAATTAAATGCTTTGAAATATTAATTAGATCATTTTTTCCTAACGTTAATGCTCTTTTCTATAGATTCATACTAAATTGTCGTCTGTCAAAATGAGCATTGAATGGAGAACAAAACTACTTCTAGTGCTTGTTGATAAATGGAATGATTGAGTAAACACAAAAAATGTGCTACACTTTCTTCATCCACTTTTAGTGAAAAAGTTAACAAATGTATTAAAGCATATATTTAGATGAAATCGGTTCGAGAATACTTGGAACCGAACCGAACCGGTCCCGTCACTGTTGTTTACTTAGTGATATATTATTTCAAGAAGTCAAATTTTGGATAAGTTTCAATGTGGGACGAAAAATTAATGGAGTTTTTGGTGATATTTATTCCTTTTCCCCTATTCTTATATTTTTTTACACAATGTAATAGTAATTGATTCTGATTAAGCATTTCATATTGAACAGAAAAATTCAATTTGATAAAATTTTAAAAAATTAGTAAAGTTAACATATTCTGTCCATTGCTGATTAACGTGAGCATACACCTTTTTGTGTAAGTGAAGTGATAATCTGTCTATGAGTACCACTGTTGATCATTCTTAATATTGGTTACGCGGTTCAAAAATCAGATAGTTGATAATGAATAGTATCTCGTATATAGGTTCACACTGCATTCCAATGATATTCCAAAAGCGAGAGAAATGTCCCTAAACTAGCAATTATGTATGTACATATTCACCAAACAAAATGGGTGCATCTTATTTTTAATAAGATAGCGAGAAATATACTATATTGAGAAAGCTGCACTTACTCAATTCTACGGAAAATGATTGAATGAACACTGATTGATAAATTTATACTTAGAGAACGAAATGTTTTTTAAACTAAAACCTTCAACTTAATTGATTGAGCTGAACAAATCGAAAAAAAAACGGTATGGAATGTTAGTATTGATCTCCTCTGAATTTGCAACCAAACTCCGTCAGAAAAATGACTTCATTAGCCCTTTCGCTCATATTATGTTTGATAACACACTATCTTGTTTTGTCGTACACTGTTCGACGCCCGTCTGGTCGTGGATCTTCTATTTACCCGCACCCTGAGTAGTCTCATCATTTCCCATGTACTATACGAACGGTTACTTGTTTTTTAGTTCAACCTAAAGTGGAAGCTGCTATATTAGTAAACGAACAGTCATGTGTGTTTGATCAAGATACTCAGATTTCGTGGAAGTTCAGTGGCATCGGAAAACTACGAGTTATATGGTTCTTCAAGGGTCAACCACTGCCGATCAATGATCGCTTGCAAGTAACGGACACTGATGATGGAGCATCGACATTAACAATTCGTCAAGCTGAATTTGATGATGAAGGTGTCTATACTGTTCAAGCAATCAATGCTTTTGGTATAGCTGAAGCTCAAACAACATTAAAGATCGATTGCATCAAACCTCACATCAATGTTAATCTTGATACTACATTGATAGTGGCTAAAGGTGCAACATTGACACTAAAAGTTATCGCCAGTGGAGCCCCGAAACCTCACTATGTCTGGATGATAGGCAACGACGAAATTGTACCCCTATGGTCGCATTAAAGTAACGACATCAACTGGTAAAGATGACAATTACATGCTGACCATCTTAAATGTACAACCGGAAGATGAAGGAGATTATTCAGTCCAGATTTTTAATGCTGGTGGATCACTCCAATCTAATAAATGCAAAGTCATTGTTTCAAGTAAGTCACCTTGATTTTTCATGTGCTTTGACACATATGTTATTGTAGGACCGCCAGTGTTTGTTACCAAACCGAGCACGCAACGAGTGAAACAAGGTGAAACAGCCTTGTTCAAGACACAAATCGATGGATGGCCGACACCAAAAATGAGTTGGCTTCTCAATGGCAAACCACTGATCACGAAGGAAGACATTCAAGTGCAATTCGATGATAAGACTGGTCAAGCGAACTTGACCATTCAAAACGTCGATCTAAAACAACATGCAGGCTCAATTATTTGTCATCTTGAGAACCTACATGGGAATCAAGAAGAAACTGTTCAACTCGATATTCTCGTTGCACCAAAAATTGTTACACAGTTGCCCCAAGAACAAGAAACTGTGAATGGACAAGATGTCATGTTGAGAGTAATTGCACGAGGATCACCACAACCACATGTTCAATGGACGTTCAATAATAAATTCACTGTGGCGGAGAATGCATCAGTAAATGAGGTAAAGAATGAATATCAGCTGTTGATCAAACAAGCAACAGTAGCACAAAATGAAGGAATATATCAAGTAGTGTTGAAGAACGAAGTTGGTGAAGTATTGTCGACACCATGTGCTGTTACAGTACTGGGACCAGTGAAATTGACAAGAGTAAGACCAACAGCGGATATAATTGACTTGAAAATTGGTGAAAAATTCGAGATCACTGTGGACATTGACGTGAATGACAAGGAAATATTACTGGTAAGCTTGAATGCATTTCCTTACTAAATGTCACAGCATACACTTTCTGTACATTGTCATGAAATAGGAGATTCTCAATTGTACTTTAGTTGATATTGTGTAGTTAGTCTAGGGATAAGCTTTTTTCATGCACAGGAAAAATTTGAGTTACAATGTAAACTCGAGGAAACCTTTATCTTTGCAATGTTTCTGATACGTGTTAAAGGTTCGTTCAGGTATGATGCAGTTTGATTCTGCATCTTTCAGTTGTGTTGAAAAGTTGAAAGTTTCTCTACGTCCTATTGCTAGACATACGTCATGCAATGTCTACAATGAGGAACAAAAGTCCTGTAGAAAAGCTGCAACGACTACATATGTTCAAACTAGGCAAATGGCAGCTCACAGTTCAATGAACTAGTTCTTTTGCTGAGAATTCAGCTCATTGACAAGTATTTTTATTGACGAATAGATTCAGTGATCTGTTCCTTTTGCATGACTTCGCTAATGAAAGTCACATTTTTGTTTCCAACCTGAAGTTTTCAATAGGCTGGTTTCGGTACAGCTGTTCGGTTTAGTTATATAACAGAAACGGAAGCCATATTGAATCCGAACGGAGATGCCTTTATTCGGTTTTCTTCTCTGGATCAGTAATTCATAGGAAAAACAACAAGAAGAAAATATAGAAAAGAAAAGTCAAAATACATTCTTGGATAGCTTGAGTGATTCAAATTAAATTGACTGTATAATGTCACGTGCAACTGGTAATTGACTCAAATGAATCGCACACATACAAAAGAAACGAATATCAATTTAGAAAGCATATACATGAGTGTCTATTTATTGTGGAGAGAAGTCTTAGAGGTAAGTATATAGCAGGATGGAATAGACGTATATCATGATTAAAATGTTGTTCGATTGATTTAGCAATCTTTCGATCAATATTTATTTACAACCTGATAACAATCTTTTGTTGTGATAAGTTTTATGTAAGAAAAATTTAATTTTTAACGATAGATTTTATGTAAAAAGAAAGCAGACTTGTGATCAAATCGAGACTTCTGAATGATATATGCCGCTCATTTCTTTCACCTATGTCGCATATTTATTCCAAATAAATGTTTATTAAAACAAATTTCTAACCTTGTAGTATATTTATTTTTTTTGGCTAATTTCTGCATCGATTCATCTTCGTTCATCCAATCATAAGCGATGCATTCCACTCGTAAAAGTTGGATCTTTCAAGCTCTACTTATCTTCCTACTTCTCGAGTCCACTACTATTGCACTTTTACAAGTCATTTTATTCAATAGAATCTACTTTCTGTTGTAGTTTTTCTTCTTTTCTAAAAACTAAATAATGTTCCTATATGTATTAATACGTTACATATAGAAACGGCAACTAGAGCTAGAACACAGGAAAAGAGATATAAATGTAAATTTGATCTATAGCTCTAACCTTAAACTGTTTATCTGGCAGTCATATATATATTTAGATCCAATTTATGAACGCTCTACTGTTTAGTTAACCAATGCTACAATCTAAAGCTATAACTGACATCAGACAGTTGATTCACAAGACACTTAATTCCAGTCTGTTTAAAATAATGAGGGAAATAAGGTTAGAAAAGGGTTCACATGCAATGTCAATTTTCCAAAAGTCTCTCAAAAACTGGTAATAAGTCGATTTTAAGAAACCAACTGCACTGAACAGACTATCATCGCTCAATGTCTAAAGATATAGTAAAGTCGATTATAAATCTATAACTAATAAGCAACTTTATCTCAACTTTCTAAGATTCCTATTAGTTCATGAATCATGCGAAGTTTATGAATTTCTTGCATTGTGGCCGATTAAATGGCTAATATAATTCATAACAGACTAGAAATCAAACGGAACCGATTTTTATGAGTTCGAGTTCTGTTCGGTTCCTGATGGATTAAAATTTCCTATAAATTTCTTCTAAATTGAAACTCTTGCCGATTTAAGTGTGCATAAATTTTTCTCATATGATACTTTTAATTTAAAATTAATTCAAATTTTATGTTGAATATATTCGAATTCTTTATCGATTTAGATTTTTTTAGAACTTCTAGGTCTGCAGATTTTTTTGTAAATTTAAACTCGTCAGCGCTGTGCTCAAAATGCATAACATGTAACAAAATCTACAAGAAATAAGGGATGAACCAATGATTATACGTTAAAATCCGATCATTATTACAAAAGATTCCTTAAGAAAACAGTTGTGATCCGTTCTCGTTACTTTCTAATGATGCTAAAAACTTCATATCCATCTCTTAGATTGTATAGACTTGATAATAAAAAGTTCTATTTATTTCTAGACACAGCTATACACATATAAACTTAGCTGAAATTAATTAGAATGAAACTTAAAATACTTTAAACATATTTGGAAGTAATTTACATTATTTTAAATTTATCTAATTTTTCTTTGAAATTTATATAAATTCAAATCTTTTACATCTTGCTCCTACGTTTAACTAATTTTCTTCAATGTAAATTGATCACGCCTAATCTCTGATGTAAAGAAATTGATCAAACGTCGTTTAATAATCGTCTACAGCACCACAATTTTCCAAAACGATAATAGCTCAGTTAGTCATTTTTCTTTTGTTTTTTATATTATTCGCTTTCCTCATATTGCTTGAGTTCAGTTCAGTTCAGTTCAGTTCGATTTCGGTCTATGTAATGAACATATTCATATTTACATGCACTGGAAGTTACATGAAATTGCATTCATTGAAAACGATACAAAATGGAATGAAGTTTAACTAATTTCTAGATCATAGGGGTGTAATCAGAAATCTGAGAGTGATGAAGCTCAGGCCAGATATTATACCTGACCACTTTCAGGAACTCACCAATTGACATGTGTGAAGATTCATATCAGTAAGCTCTCAAGCATAACATGAGCATCAAATCAAAAGACTATGCTTTCACACTGAATAGTCTTGGTGAGTGGCCCGTTAATTCAGATATGTGAGTAAAATATAATAGAGACCAAAAGATAAGATTTTTTCGATACAATTCGATTATGTTTATGAATGTTTGAGACTGAGAATTTATCAAAAAGCTGCTCAAAATTTACAACAATATCCCCACTCGACAGCTCATAAACATAAATCACTTAGGCGATCATCAGTCATTGTGTTTCTCTCTGTCATTTTGATCATTTTCATTTTTGAAAATGTACGTTCGTACGTCGTTGACAAAACCTGGAATGGTCATCACACTTTCGATAAGTGCAACAACTGTTGGAAGTGCTTCTGTGAGAGGATATAATTCCTTGATATAAATCAATTATAGTAGTCAATGATTTGCTTTCATTATTGAGTCTATACCTAAAGATTCATATTAAATTCTTCTAATTGAATTTCATCTATTTGTATTAAAAACTCAATAACTTCAAAGGAAGCGTGATATGGCTTAAATCCTCGATAATGGGATTGAACACTCCTAGCATCCTCTGATTACCCCATTACTGGATTGCCTTCCTTTCCAATGGCAAGAGTATCTCCTCTAAAGCTAATATATATGTATCAAATAAAGAAGAATCTCAAATATTTCATCATTACAAGAATCCGAGTTGCATGTTTAATAACGGGAAGCAGGAAAGAAGTTGTGATGCGAATTACGTACAGGGTGTCTCATAATTATAAGACCCCCCACTAAATTTCCATAAAAGTAAAGATTTCTTCAACTAAAGAAAGTTTCATTTCTAATCTGATGTCACACCTATAGACATCTAGTAGTACTCTATCATATACCATATTGGTTTCAATTTAGTTGATTACCATTGGTGAATAAATTCTAAAAAATTTGAATCACTGTGTCTCACAATTATAAGACCCCCTCCTCCCATGATATAAAAATATTTAATTAATTCAAACTTTATCAACTCAAATGGTCCATTTTAGGATCCATTCGAAAGAGGAGACATGCAGCTATATGCTATAAAAAAATTAGATTGAACAAGACTACTTTACGTTTTCTATAGTTCAACAAATTAAATGATAGAAAATTTAAATCTAAAAAAATCACTATGCCCTTCAAGAAAAATAGTTTTTTTCTTCTTTAATACAACATAATTAAATTCGAAGGATACCATTGGATAGAGAATTAAAAGTTGCATATACTACATATGT